ATATATATAAAATATTGTAGAATCTTATTTATTATTTTAAAGTATGATTGAATCCACTATACCACACCACAGTGAGTTTTTATGAAGTTTAAAATTCTCCCATCTAGATGGCTGTTACATCAAAATTTATTTAGCGTGACATCAAAATTTATTAATAAAACATATTAAAAAAATAATAATTACAATTTAACAAATCTGTGAGTGTTTTAAGTACAAGATAACAAAAAACGATGGTTGATTCAAAAAGTAAGTTATGTATATATTTGCTCGTTTTTTACATCTAATGGTTTTATGTACATATTTTTAGAGAATTGTGATACTATCGATATCTTTAACAGTGGTTTTCTCCCGTTTCCAAAACATTTTACAACTACTTGTATACACGCAGCCCAAGAACCGGAAAAATGGAAATCTTTAGCCATAGTTCCTCCCATAATTATGTCTTCAACCTTTAAACAACCAGAACCTGGCCAAATAACAGTAATTTATCTATATGTGTAAAACGTGATATTTTTTTTAGTTGATTCCTTAGACCCTTCGTCTTTATTCTCCAATAAAAATTATCACGATATTCCTATTTTATATCAGGTTAATAAAGTTTTCATACTAGTAGATGATAATGATTACCTTAAAAGCTGCAAATGTGTATGTTTTCTTGCTACTAAGAAGAAGTGTAAGGGACTTGGGTGCATGCACAAGAGAGAGTGAAAGTTTTTAGTTCCGCCTCATCGTAAAATAAGCGACAAACGCACATTTTTTTGCTCGAGTCTCTTGATGCTGTGTTGTTCTATATCGAGGAACAAAGTCGCGAGAATCAGCTAGTTATTTAAATTCTTTTTTTTTAATATTTCATCCGTTTTATGTCAGGGATATGAATATGGACGTTTTAATAATCCTACCCGAGAAACTTTAGAAGGAATAATAAAAACTTTACATGGCGCCAAATACGCTTACATCTTTGGATCTGGAATGGGAGCATTCTCTTCATTGCTTGGATTACTTAAAGCAGGCGACAACATCATATGTACCGAGGATATTTATGGCGGAACAAATAAACTATTCTCTGAAATAGCTGTTCCAATGGGCATGACGTTAACATATGTAGATCCAACCAATACAAGCGAATTTGCAAAAGCTGTACAGCCGAAAACAAAGGTACCTAACAAAAAAAATAGCTGGATGATATTTTTTAAAAATGTACCTAATTTTAAATATAAAAAATTTATAGCTGATATGGGTAGAAAGTCCAACGAATCCTTGTTTAAAATTAGTCGATATTCAAGAAGTTGCCAAAATTGCCCAAAAAAATAATATAATATTAGGAGTGGATAATACTTTTGCATCCATTTATTTGCAACGTCCGCTCGATCTAGGTGCTACTATTTGCGGTTACTCGTTGACTAAATATATGAACGGACACTCTGACATTATTATGGGTTGTATGGTCGTAAATGATGACGTTCTTGGAAAACGATTGCAATTTTTGCAAATGAGTAATATTTAAGTTATATGTTTGCCGTATTTTAGCATCAGTGCAAAACAAGCACTTTAGTTACATTTGTTTTTAATCTGGACTAATAAGCGCTTTTTATTATTCTTTAGCAATTGGCGCTGTTCCGTCACCTTTTGATTGCTCTCAAGTAATTAGAGGAATAAAAACATTAGAAATAAGAATGCATCAACATATGATCAATTCGTTAACTGTAGCTAAGTTCTTGGAATCACATCCAAACGTGGATAAAGTTGCACATCCAGGTATTAAACAACAATAGCTGCTTTGAAAATTGTAATAATTTTTTGACAAATATTTTCATTGTAAATGTTTTAAGGTTTACCCTCGCATCCTCAGCATGATATTGCAAAGAAACAAATGTCAGGCCACAGTGGAATGATAGCACTTTATCTTAAGGGAGGTGTGAATGAAGCCAAAATATTTCTTAAGGCTTTAAAAATATTCACAGTCGGAATAAGTCTTGGGGGTTACGAAAGTTTGGCACAAGCTCCGTAAGTTATGTTTTTTCTTCCAATTAAATTGAAATTAATGTATATTAAGTATATTTGACAGATTTTATTTTTTTTTAATAATAGAGAGCCCTTTTATTATTATCAGTTAAAAAATAATATTCTTTATTGAAATGGAATACCTTGTAAATTAGTAAAATAATTGCAGTTTTTTTATGACCCATGCATTGATCCCTGAGGAGCAAAGGAGGAGAGCAGGAATTGTTGAAGGATTAATCAGGATGTCAATTGGCTTAGAAGATCCTGAAGATTTGATTGCTGATTTAAATCAAGCATTAAATAAAATGACACAAGGTCATACAGGGGGAGAAGCCTGTGGTGCGATGAGTAACAGATGTCGTTGTTCACATTAGCAATAAAAAAGGAAATATCAAAATCATGTTTATCTATCTTGATAAATAATTTTTATGTATTTAATTAATATTGTTTGCATTTTCATAATCACACATATTGTTAGATGAAAAGCTGCAAAAGTTTGATCTACAGAATTATCTTGCCATTTCAGCAGTATTCTAATACAGAAAGCTGACGTAGGATGTTTAAAACTATTTTATGTTCGTTTTTAGTTAGACTTAAAAAAACATTCCAAACGAATTGGACACCCAATTATTCTCTTTAGCTTTTTTTTTAAATATTGACAAAACGAACAGGAGAGCAAACTATTTCGGGATAGTTTTCAACTAAGTTTACTTTAAAAATTGCATTAAATCAATATAATTGACATGCTTTAACAAAATTGTGTCGTGCATATAGTTGGCTGTTTACATCAAAATTTATTTTTTATTAAACTCTAAGCGAAGTTATTTTATCAAAAAAAGATAAACAAATCTAAACAAAATTTTAAGTGTAGCCAAATAAATAATTGAAAATGGCTTGTTCAAAAAGTAAGTTATTGTATATTTGTCACTTTTATTAACGCTGATATGCATATGTACTTTTAGACAAAATTGATGATACTGTAGACATTTTTAACAGTGGATTTCTTCCGTTTCCAAAGCATTTCACCACCACATGTATACATGCAACTCAAGAACCGGAGAAATGGAAATCTTTAGCCATAGTGCCTCCCATAATTATGTCTTCCACCTTTAAACAACCTGAACCTATTAAACTCACGGTAATTTGATATAATATATGCTCTTTTAAACTAGTCAAACTTTTTCAAAACACTGTAATTTTCCTAAATTTATCAATAAACTTTTATATAACGATTTCAACACATTTATATATCAGGGATATATTTATGGGCGTGTCAATAATCCTACCCGAGAAGCATTAGAAGGAATTCTAAAAACATTGCATGGCGTCAAATACGCCACTACCTTTGGATCTGGAATGGCGGCGACATCTGCTTTGCTAGCCCTGCTCAAACCAGGAGATCATATTATTTGCACGGACGATGTTTATGGTGGAACAATTAGTCTCCTTTCTGTAGTAGCTGTTCAACTTGGCATGGCACTAACATTCGTAGATACAATTAATACCAGTGAAATTCTAGCAGCTGTAAATCAGAATACAAAGGTTCTTAAAAACAATTTCCTTAAATACCTATACCAATGCAAATGTTTGTTATATTTTTTTGGTTTCTTACCCAGAAAAAATAAACACAAAACCTTTATAGAAGATTACTCGTCATCAGCAGTCACAGCAGTTTATTTGAAATTTTGCACAGTGATAAACCATACTGACTCAAATATATGTCTAACGTCCATTGGGTGACGCTTATAAGTACCTAATATTTTAAAAGAATATTTTAGAAGGGGAAATTTTAAAACCTAATTTTTATTTTCGGAGTTATCTAATCTATTCAATCTAATCCATTAAAAATTAAAAAGTGTGAGGTTTCCGTTCCCTTTTCTTATTACTAGAAAATTACGATTTTATTACTAACAAACTTAATTTTGCTGTCACCGATTTATAATCATTACATTTCAGTGTCTTCGTTGTTCCCAGTTATGATTTTCTGGGACGAATTATAAAGACATACAAAGGTACCTATTTTATAAAATTCTATTTGTTTTACATATAAAATGATAAATAATTAATTATAGTTAGGTTTGCTTATCAATGCCTATTTATGTTTTTTGTGCAATTAAGTAATTGGAGTACCTATGACATTACATGATAATTTCAATTGAAATAATTTTATTTTAGAGTTTGTTACTATTTAGTCCAAAATTGCATTTTTCATAAACCTACTTTTTTTTTGAAGAATAACTTGAGTTTATTTTAAGTATTTTAACCATTTATGGTCCTTTAAAAGGAAGGTGAAATTTTTGTTGTTTATTATAATGTTTGAATACCTATATGTATTTATAACTGAAAGTTAATAAAGATTATTAATTATTATATTGGATTTATTTATACCATTATTACAGCTGATATTCATAGAAACCCCATCGAATCCTTGCTTAAAATTGGTAGATATGCAAGAAGTCAGTAAAATTGCCAAAAAGCACAATATAATGTTCGCAGTGGATAATACTTTTGCAACCATTTACTTACAAAATCCATTCGATTTCGGGGCCACCATTTGCGATTACTCAGTAACTAAATACATTAATGGACACTCTGATATTATTATGGGCAGTTTGATCACGAATGATGACACAATTGGAAAGAGATTGCAATTCTTACAAATTAGTAAGGTTTAAATACTATTTTGTGTTAGTATAATAATAAGATTATTTTTTAATACTTATTATATTTACTTTTACTCAGTCAATAAGAAACGTTTTTTATTGTATTTTAGCAATGGGTGCTGTTCCGTCACCTTTTGATTGTTCTCAAGTAATTAGGGGAATAAAAACATTAGAAATAAGAATGCATCAACATATTATCAATTCATTAACTGTCGCTAAGTTCTTGGAATCGCATCCTAATGTGGATAATATTAAGCATCCAGGTATCTACTAATAGTTATTGTTTTGAAGATTTTAGATTTATTTAAAAAGAATTTGTTCCTATGGTACCTAAATGTACCTAATTGTAGGTTTACCTTCGCATCCTCAGCATGATCTTGCGAAGAAACAAATGTCAGGTCACAGTGGAATGATAGCTCTTTATCTTAAAGGAGGTGCTAATGAAACTGAAACCTTTCTTAATGCTTTAAAAATATTCATAGTTGGAGTAAGTCTTGGAGGTTACGAAAGTTTAGCACAAGCTCCGTAAGTTACGATTTTTCCTTATTCTATTCATTATTTCTAACAGGCTTTTATGAACTTTTTTGGTAATTGTGCAGATGATGGGTCCTTCGCTCGAAGGAGGTAGAAAAAGGGATGAGAATGATCTTCCAGAACACTACACAAGCGAATGTTCCATCGTCTGCACAGATACTCTTTTTTCGCAAATTAAATAGAAATAAAAATGTTGTGCAGGTTTGATATATTCATGTACTTACCTACGCATTTTAATTACTTTTACCTTTTTAATATAGAGCGTTCTTTTACTATTAAGTAGGAAATAATCCTTCTTGTTAAATTGGAACACTCTGTATATTAGTAAAAACAATTTCAGTTACTTTATGACCCATGGGTTGGTTTCTGAAGAGCATAAGAAAAGAACGGGAATTGTGCCAGGATTAATTAGATTGTCAATTGGCTTAGAAGATGTTGAAGATTTGGTTGAAGACTTAAATCAAGCATTAAATAAAATCGGCACCGGAGGGGACGCATGTGGTAAAGTGAGTAGCAGATGTCGATGTTCTACTAGCCTTTAACTAATAAATAGTACAAAAACATAATAGCCGAATAACAATTTTGTCTGTTCGAGTGGTATAAATTATTTTCTTTTGCATAATGTAAGTTATCTGATTACTATAATAAATGTAATATGTAACTAGGAATGTCTTGTTTATCAGTTGGCATTTAAGTTGGTACTATTAATAAAATATAAAAATAACCGTCATCGACTGTCATTTCATTTTGAAAATGACGCTCTGAGTTTTACGGTTGACTTTTTATTTACATTTTTTAAATATTTTGACTAAACATGTTATTAACAGAAGAAATAAGAGACATTTTCCTTAAAGTGCAGCAATGCAGCTCTACTCATCAAAAGAGTCACAAAGTTTTGTGTAATTTATACAATAAAGTGAGTTGCTTTATAATATAACCTTAATGAAACTGTTTCAATTTTTCTTGTTGTAGCACTCTCAAGATGTATTTGTAGAAACTTTTAAGGAGCAAATTAAAAAACTAGTATTACTAAAACATACTCCGTCGACATTGTTTCGCTTGCTGGACTTCTGTTCTGCATTTATAGTCAGTGTCAGTGAAGAAAGTAACAAACTAAATTTGTCTCAAGAAGAATTACTAGAAACCAGCACTCACCCGTTTTTAGCCGAGATGTTCAATTTGGCATTGCAAGTATGTAGTAAATTCATATTTTTAAAAAGCAAACGCCGTAACAATCTTTACAATTTTAGTATCATGATCATGGTATCCCAGAAGTAAGATACCGGGCATGTATTTTTATAACTTCCCTTTTAAAACACCTTGGTGATGGCTTCCTTGATAATGATATCTGTGATAAAATAGAAGAAGCCATGTTAGAAAGGATTATTGTAATGAATAAATGTTTTTTTTTTATGTTGATTTATTTTAGATGTCATATATTTTAGGATTTAAAAGCTTCTATTCGCAGTCAAGCAATAATAGCATTAGCAAGGTTACAAGATCCATCTAATCCAGAGTGTCCAGTTCTTAGGGCATTTATAGGAAGTTTTAATGATCCTAGTCCAACAGTAAGTATACAAACACAGTGTTTTACAAAACTAACGCAAGTTGTATGCTACTTTAGGTCAGAAAACATGTTGTCGAAGTGGTAGGAATATCTGGTCAGACAGTATCAAAAATTTTAGAGAAACTTCGAGACGTTGATGCTGCTGTACGTGTAGCAAGCTATGAAAGATGTTTAATTATAGAACCTAAATATATGAAAATTGAGCAGCGTCAAACAGTAATACACAGTGGATTTAAGGAAGATAATAAGCGAGTGAAAAATTCCTTTTTAAACAAATTACTTCCCAAATGGCTATCATGTTATAATGGTGACTATTTACAATTACTAAAAGCAGTAAAGTTGGATGCATACGAAACAGATTTTGAGATGACTGAATTTTTGAATACTAATCTCCTAGAAGTTTTTTTTAAGTAAGTACAGATTTAATAGTTGTTTTATCCGTTGATTTTTAATCTTAATTTTGAACAAAAAAAATGTAGATTAGGAAATAATAAAATATTTTTTTTTTTACTTTGTCTGCTAATGAATATTTTTTCTTTTACAATTTAATGGGGATAAGTATCGAATTTTCAACTGTCCTTTAATGAAATTGATATTGCAGAACCAATCCCATAAATGAAATTATGGAGTATTTACCTATAAATGAATACAAAAATATACCATTGGAGAAATTAACTACCGAAGCAGCAATTTTTTGGCGCGTTTTGGTTAATTATTTGAGACGCAATGTAGAAGAATTTATTGATCAGGTCATTCCTGAACTTCCATCATTTTGTGACTACATTTATAGGTAAGGAAATTTTCGATATTTTTAAGGTACGTTTATACATATAAGTTACATGATTTACCAATGTTAATTTCTATGCATAAGGAATATAAACATGTAAAATGCCTAACTTTGTATATCTGTACATGAGTTGTTAAATTTTACTTTTTAGTTATCATAAAGAAAACACTGACAAAAAACTGGAAGTTTGGGAGTTCTTTGAGTTCCAATCAATCATGGCAAATCTTTTATTAATTCTAACGGGATATGATTTTTCTGATGAGGTAAATTACTAGTTGTAGATACATTTACGTTTTATATCTTATTATTACTTCTTATTAATTTAGGCCGGCAGAAATAAAGTTCTTCGCTTAATCGAAACACTCTTGTCTAATATAAAGTGTTCTCCGCGTGTCATAGACGAACTTATGAAGATTTATATTAAATTGACACCTAATATAGAAACTTTGACCAATGAAGTTTCAGTTATTATTTCAAACATACGAGAGCCTTTAGTAGAACAAGGTCCCACAGAGCAGCAAATACACGATAAAGAATTTCAGGTAAAAACAAATATGATTGTTTATTTAAGACTATGTAGTTTATGTAAGTCCAAAAGAATTCATCAGAGGGCACTAATCTTCCCGTGCGCAAAGCCAGTAACGCTATACAAAATCTGATCATTAGTTACTTAAGATTATGAATACATATTTGTAGTTCATAAGGTGGTACATTTACCTATCATTACAATTAGAACTTGCGTTACTATTTATAGAACAATATTACAATCTACTAATATCACATAATTATTCAACTGTTTTAACTTTGATTCATAATCCATTTTTTTAAGTTTTAATCATAAAGATCATAATTTTTCAGTCTTTAATTAAAATAATATTTCTCTTTTAACTTTGGCTCTGATTTCAACATTTTTTTGCGCTTGTAATATTTTGCATTCTATTTATAACTTTCTGTCGAGCTACAGTTCCATTTTCCTCAGTTGTTTACCCATTTTATTGATAGGTAGCACAATTAAGATACAGGACGCACGTCTTGATGGAAAATCAAAGCGAGGCGGTTAAAAAGCAGGACTTTGAGGGAGCTGCCTTAATTAAAAACGAAATAATATCAATTAAACAACAAATTGATGAAATCGAAACGAATTTCGAAGAGAGAATTAAAAAATCCCGAGTAACTCGTGACGAAACCGCAGTAAACCATCACGTCTTGAACGTGCTTATTTCGATGTTTAAATCTCGGGAAATCAATAAAGTGACTACTGCGATTATGACGCTTAAAAATGAATTGATTCTGCCATTTCTGCAGTATCCTGATCCAGATACCTACTGTAGAACTATCGAGTGTTTAGCACTGTGTTGCATGTTGGATTTCAACTGGGCCGAAGAACATCTCAAACCAATTTTGAATCCAGTGAGTATACGAAATTAAGTATTGTATTTCGCGAGTCTCCCTCAGTCATTTTACTTCTAATATCTCTGTACTTTTAATCACGTGGAAATTGCTATGATGAACCTTTTCAATATTTTTACTATTCTTATATATAGGCACATATACTATTCATTTGATACCACTGACGAACATACATGTATTAATGCAAGAATTCTAACTTTTTCGAACAATAATTTCACGAAAATGTATTTTTAATGCGCGCGTTTTAGTCACACACGTGAATCGTGTATTCGGTCGATATCATTAATATTAATACATAAAAATCACGTGTCACCATGTGTGTACACGCTAATCTCCGAAACCACTCAACTGATTTTAGTGAAATTTTGAGAATGAATGTGACTGGTTCCAGCTTGAAAGACAGGATAGTATTGAATCCGAAAGGTGGCGTTGTTGTCGAGATCTAATTTTTCCTGAAACAATTTTTTTAAAGTTTTCCGTTTTCTCATTCAAAAACAACCACAAATTTTAATTTCCCAAAACCCTTACCTTTCAATATTTTTTAAAGTGGTATCTTTTATGGGAGAAAAAGGCTTATAATTAATTTTGTCTAATCCACTATATAAAATGGGTTTTCAATATACGAGGGTGGATTGATAAGTTTCCGGCCTAACCAAGAGATGACGCCACTAGGCCTACCTTGAGGTGACATTCTATAGTACCATCCTTGGATAGCTTGTAGCTATAGTTTCAGCCCGATCTCCT